TGCACAGAGGAAAAGTACTTCAAAATGAACCATAATTATTACAAAACTGGTCTAACAGCAAATTGATGAACAAATTTGATACTAATTTATGTTTTTAAAAATTGATTGGCATCTGGAAGAAAAATCTCCCAGAATTTATGTAAAACAAGAAGGGATTTAGGAAGGTAGCAATGGCAAGTAACCGAAGTCATGAAGTCTGGAAGGCAGTGTAGGAAGAAAAATGAAGTGGATAGGAGCATCTAGAGTGGTTCCTGATTTATGCATGTTAATCAGAATTAAATGAAAATTTTATAGAATGACTATAAGACCAGCAACAATATGTATTGTATGTCGGATCAATATCTTGTGGAGTGGACTGATTATGCAGCAGATAAATGTCACATTTTATCCACCATAATTTAATTGGTAGATACAAAAATAAAGAGCAGATAACTTTTCTTCTGAGGACACATGCAGACTATGATATGAGACATTATTTGTGTCAACTGGCCATCTTATGGCCCTAGATACTCATTAAATTCATCTGTCTCCTTTCCAGGGAAAGCAAGTGTGATTCAAGAGTTATTCATCTTTATTTTCTCAACATTCATTTTCTTGTATTTTACTTTCATAGGTTTACCTTCACCTTAAAATCGCAAAAGCATACCCGAGGAAACACTTGAATTAGAAAAATAGAGAAACTAATTTCTTAACATTCTTCCTATGATAAATATATAAGCAAGAGTGCACTGTTCACTCTATCATCAAAAAAAAAATGTACATTGAGTGAAAGACATCTCTGCCTTGAAAGAAAAAAATGTAAAGATCTAATGAGTTCAAAAGAAACCATTCATCAGACGACATTACTAGATAGCTTTATCAAGCACCACTTTTCCCAACCTTACAGGAGTTAAGCAATCAACTATTTCACAGAAACACAATACATGTTGAGCCTTTGAACTAAACATGCATAAGGAGTTAATAGAACTGACTAGAGTAGATCATTATTAACTTCAAAGTGAAAGAGCAAGTCATCAAAGAAAGAACCTACCATAGGAGCAAAGAATTTTGAAGTTTGGTCTGCTAGTTTCTGAACTAGTGTTCTGGCAAGTTGAGCAGCTTCCAGCAGCTGTACTATTTGGGACTATGCAGTCTCTGACCCAACATGAGTAGCCTTAACTACTAAGCATCCATTCTCATTTACAGTTCTACCAGTAACCTGATTATGACACATTTAAGCATAAATTAATTTGAAATTTGGCTTCCAGATAAAGTGTACAAGGTTACTCACAATGCAGAAAGAAGAATATATAAGGGTCACAGGGCCATCACCAAAATTTTGTCCCAGATATCTCAGGTCTTGGGAGGGGTGGACTGGATTGGTTCAGACCTAAACTTAGTTATTTTCTTTCAGGAAGTGACAGCTATCAGACTCAAACCCACGTTCTCATGTTTGTCAGCCCAAGATTTTATCATTGCACCAAATATGGCCCCAAGAAAGAAGAAAGATATAGAACAAAAGAACAGAACCTTGTCTCCTGGCCTCTTAGCTACGGGCCTTTGCTTCTTCGGTGATCGTACTCTCATTTACATGGCTTTGTCCCATTATAACAACTCCATCAACAAGAACTTTTGCCCCTGGAACAATCTTAGTTACATCATTTCATTGTATCAGCTGAGTACTTATTTCCATCTCGGAGATCACATTTCCTTCCCCATCCAATGTTAGCAGATAAGCTGTATCAGGTGCAAGGTCTGTCAGCTTTTCCAAAGCATCTCTTAGCAGATGGTTCTCACACAATTTGGAGTGAGAACTAAGGCTTTTAGATCAGATAATGCCAGAGAGTACTTTGAGAAGGACCTGACGACGTATCTCTTAGAACATGGTGCAGTTCATCAAATCAGTTGTAGATATACACCGCAACAGAATGGAGTTGCTGAGAGGAAAAACAGACACACTGTGGAGGTGGCAAGGAGTCTTATGGTGTGTGCTTCAGTTCCTGTGCAGTT